GAACTGATGTATACACACGCAATGGCTGGAGCGAGACTTGATTGGCTTGAGGGGGTCTATTTATCAGGGAACTCAATTAAAATACAGACTGCACATGACATCAAATTTGTAATCATTTTTCCACAGCAAGCAAGCAAGCAAGCATTTTCTGTATTGGATGCAGGTGTTTAAAGCAATAGTGTGTTTTAAGGGCCAGTGCAGCACAAATTCTGGCCTTTGGGATAAAGACAAGTGTTTTGCCTGCATAAACAATATATTATTTTTTTTTCCCCTCCCCGAGGTCCACACACACCTAGTTTCCCTCAAGCTCATCATCTCTGTCAGGTTAATCAATAGGCACCGTATGGCAGAGGGTCAGTAATCAGTGTCATCGTGCCTTTAAATCGTGTTGAAAATTTGCTTAAAGCCTGGGCCAATTAACATCGAGATGATGAATGGATGGGTAGATGGGAAGAGCCTGGCGCTCAGGGGCTTTGTGAGAAGGAGATGCTCAGCTGTTGAGCAGCAGACACCAGCGAATAAAATCAGCCATTCATGTGAGCTCAGTCCACCCACTCTTAATGATAATGTCAATCTAGCAAAATATATACACATTGGAGTTGTCATGAGTTCATAAATCAAAGGAGTTTGTCAAAGGCATTCAGATTAACGAGGCAGCAGCAATAACAAGTCAAATTTGCATAGAGAATTGCCCGAATCTCAGTAAATTATGATCCTGTTTTTCATTTGATTATTTGCTAATGTCTCAAGAGGGAGAATGATTATATTAGCATGCAAAATCTACTCCAGAAGTAGAAATCCGAGGTATAGCAGACCAGCACACGATGACAATTAATCAGTTTCTGCATACTAGCATAAACGCACAAGGCCCAGAAATGAACTCCTTTTTTATTATTATTTCTCCTTGCTACTGATCCAAATGGTTCAGCTTGACAGAGACTTTATATTGCTTTAACAGTGTTCTGAATTGTGCCTGCAGGCAAGACATAGTTATGCAGCTATAACCAACCTATCCATCTGCCAACCAGATTGGAATTCTCCTATCCAAGGCTTCCATTAACCCCCACTGACAGCTCCAAACAGGATTAAGAATTTGAAAGCATAAAAAATAGTTGTGCTCTTCACATAGACACACGCTTCTCCCCCACCCCCACCTCCACACACTTGGAAAAAAGGCTGTGTCTGTACTCTTTTATAATTAGTGCAGGGCAGAACAGCATCAAAGAAAGCCTCCCCCAGTTGGCAGGGGTTTGATTTCCACCACGACGAGCGAGGCGGTACTAAAGGTAGCTCTGCCCAATTGGTAGTCCCTGGGAGTGCATTTCTCTGTGTATTATATCTCGTTCCCAGCAGTGTTTTGCTGGGCTGTGTACACAAAATACTGCATGTCATCTCCCATCAAATGCTTCAGTCTAGGGATTTCGGATGCATTGTAGCGTGTTGTGTTTAGTGGTGGAGGAGGCTTCATGGGGAGAGTTAAATAGTAATAATTTCGTAGTGGTCTTTAAGACAACCTGCCATGGAGTTATATTCTGTTAATTACAGGCTGAAGTTTTAAATGCAAATCAGATTTAAAAGGATCTCATTACAGGCAGTAGCCATTTTAGGAAAAATGAGCAATGGAAGGCAAAGCCCCTTTGCAGGAATCTCCTGCTAGAGAGAAATTTTGAAGGTTACAAGAACTATGAGCTTGGGTTTCCTGGCTTTTCTTCCCAGTGCTTCCACTGTCATTGTGTGACCTTGGGCAAATAAAAAAAATTATTTTACCTGTCTGTGGAAAGAGGGGATGATCTGGGGACTTCAGCATCTCATCTTGCCTGTATTTGTTCAGAAGGAGAGACCCCTGCGTGTAAGCACACTTTTGGCCAGCCTGGCTTTAGTCTATGGAGGAAGGCTTGCTTGTGGGATTTAAAAATCTTCCATGATGGAAGGGAGTTTGGATGGCTTTTCAGCTTTCTATATGCACTGGTTTTCTTCACTTCTTTCATCCTAACAAATTCCGTAATTCGCCTACTACATATCAGATACAGTCGCCGCAGATCTTTAATATTCCCAGTGAGTACACCCAACTTACCGTCTGGATACCAAATGCTTCTTTCCAGTTCTGTGCCCGGGACATGCGTTTCAGTAACCACGAGAGGGTGCTCAGAGCGGTTCCTCCCTTTGTCTGCCTCTCCTGTGGCCGAGAGCATTGCTGAAGTCCTGCTGAAGCAAACCTTATTCTGACCTCGCACATGTTTATCCCTCCTCCCACCTTGTTCAGCAAGGAGAAATATATAGATGTACCGTTTCAGTCGATTACGTTATGCTCTTCCCATGGCATGGCTAAGTGTTACCCTGTCAAGTGAAATTCACTTCCATGCAGGTACAGTTAGTCCTGAAATATGCGGGGTCCTGTACCTGCACCTGGATTGATAGGTTTCCTATTCCTGAGAAATGAGCGGGAGTTATAAACATCTGTGCTTTTTCTTAAGTGTAATGCTTTCCAGTCATTCTGTCTTCACCAAGCGTAACTTACTTGCCGACAAAAGTGCAGGAGCAGCGCTCCTCTTTAATAGTCTGCTATCGGAGCTGCTGTGTTGGTGCTGTAGAATGGTGAGACGCCAAGCTGTGAACCACCATATGCACTTGGCAGTCTTTGTCTGGTCTTTGTTCAGCCAACCTCTTAGCCTTGCCACCTATAAAGATAATGAATGCAAAATGGTCCTCTGCTTGCTCTTAAAATTAGATGCTCAGCTTAAAGAAAAAGTAGATAACTTGATGCTTTGCAGTAACTAGGAATTTCAAAATAAGGGCTGACAGTTCACCAGCAGTTCCTGCTTTTTGATGTTTTCTGAGGGAGGATCCTCAGTGGTTTTGAAAAGCAAGTTTTCACTGTCATGGAGAGATTATTTGGAAGTGGAAATTTTTCTGGCAGTTTTTGTAGGGAAGCGGGTGAGTGCTGAAAACGCACCCAGAAGTAGTAAACAACCCCTTCAGCTCCCCAGCACAACAAAATACATTTCCCGGAAATGTATGGTAAGTCATCTCAGGTTCTCATGTTTTCCACCCTTGGTCTTTTTTTTTCTAAAGCACAAAAATTAAAATACTAACTTCAGTTAACCACTTACTGAACTGAATTTCATGAGCAGAAAAGAACAGCTTTAATGTCTGACCTTCCTTTTTTTATGTATGCGATTCTAACTTCTATGGTTTTATAATCACAGTCCTTTCTAAGCTAGATTTAATGTAATAGCCTGGTCCTGACTGAGATCTCACATGAAAACTTTTAAAAGCTGACCTCTTACAGCAATTTATCAGGCCTGTTTAGGATTGATTTCCATTATAAAACCCTGGTTACAGCATCCCACATGACATGGTGCCTTGTGAGTTCTATATCTTGTTTAAAAAAAAAAAAAAATTCAAAATCACTAGTAGGTCTGCAAACCTTGATTTACTCCTGACCAGTTTATGGTATCCCAAGTGGGGTTTTATTATTGTGCTCCTCTCCCCCCACCCCTTATCTGCCATTTCTCAGCAAACAGCTTCTGCCCCTGCCCTGTCTCCTGGCTGTGCTTTTCTTTCCCCTTCCCCAGACTAGTGGCCTGTGCTGCCCGGAGGGTGCCTGATCACGCAGCACTGCAGTGGGCACGCCGCGCTCTGCTCTGCTGATGGCTTCCCGCAGCCCGTGTGCTCGCTGCTGGCCTGCGCTGCCACGCTGGCTGTTCGCAGGGCCCAGCTCCTCCTTTGCCAACAGATGCCACTGCTGTCTCCTGAGGTGCTGGGCTGGAAGCTGTCTCTGTGAGAAGCCAGGCAGAGCCGTGCTCAGTGAAGGACAGGTTATTTGGGGGACAGATACAGAATGCAAACTTCTGCTGTAATAGACACAATCCTGAGCTTGCCTGCAAGTAACTGGAAAACCACCCTTTTCCTGGCAGAGCTCTCCCTAGGCAGTTTTTCTGTATCTCTTTAAAACCTGTTTAGCTGCTCACTGCTGAATGCATGGGAATGTGGCCTAAGGCTATGAATACTGTGGTGATCAAACTGATTTTAGATGTGTGTGTGGGATTCCCCCAAAGCTGGCTGTCATTACTCTGTCAATGCAGTGGCTGAACCTGTGCAAAGAATGTTGTCTTCCAGAGTAGCTGACTTTGGCAATGAGGTCAGGATTCTCCCCACCTATCCAGCAGTTCCTGACCAAACCTTTGCAACAAACTGCACATCCTAAGATAATTATAGCTTGTCTTTACTCTAAACCAAGTGATAATTGGTCTAATCGTGATGCAAGCAGGGCATAAGTTTCCTGGGTATATTTCTTACTCATGCTGGAAAAACTCTTGTATTTCGTGTCCACTGTCTCCTGTCTTACTGATGTTATTTTTTTGGAGGTGGCAGCTTACGTTTTGGCATCAGTATTGTAAATATATGTAGAGTCAGAGGGCGGGAGTGAAAACTATAGCTGTATTATCGTACACTGCCTACACAATATTTGGGGCTTTTTTGCAAGAATCTCCTGAAAACCTTTTTTACAATAATTTAGCTCTATCATAATTTCTCTTATGATTTATGGCAGCCAAGCAGACTCAGTGCAATTAATAATGGTTGGGCAGATAAAAACATAGAGGCGGAGAGAACAACGATTGCACCCACTAACAACCTTTTGCTTTCAACAGGTTCCACTGTTTTAAGTCATTATTCTGGGGTTGAGGAGCACTGGTGTTGCCATGCTGATTCAACCATCATTTCAGCTTTTCAAAGTAGCTGTTATTAGAAGTTTAAGAGTAAATCCCTAATGCACAGGCTTCTTCAACAGATACTTGCACAGTGGTATGTTTCTGCATTGAGGAGGAGAAACTCTTTCTCTGCCATAACAAGCTGTTTGGCATAAAAGTACAAGTTAGTCTCCGGTATGCAAATGTGTAAAATACTACAGCCTGTGCAGTAAAAATATTTTGTTTCTTTCCTCTTCGCAGAGTAATATTAGGGATAAGAACTGAATTAAAGCTTACTTTCTTTCACAGAATTCCTCTGAGAGAGAAGACTGTAATAATGATGAGCCCCCTAGGAAGATCATTCCTGAGAAGAATTCACTTAGACAGGTATGTGATCAGTCTCTTTAAAAATGCGATAAAACTTTCTAGCTATTTGAATTCTTAAATGCTCCTGGAAGCTGAAGTCTGGCTTGTGCACATGGAAATCCTTTTTTTTCTTCTTTGTAGTCTGAACAAGTCACATTGTACCCAGGAAAATCAGACACAGAGATTTAGCTTTCAGGGGAGTTTGATGACTTTTTACAAAGAAATATATACCACAGTGTAGTTCAGTCAGCTGTGACTCTCTATTTGGTGTTCATCAAGACCTCTTCAGCCTTTTCGTCTGTAATCATTCCTGTGTTGTTTATAGTATATTTTGCCTTGCCTCAGATCAAAAGTTTCAAAATGTTCTACAACAATTAAGCTTTTTATTGCCCTTGAAGGTAAATTTTCTTGGAGGTGATATCCAGGTTAATAACCTGAAAAATTACCTGTTCTTGTTTCTTTTACTTTCATATAAATGACTAATAGGTAAAAAAGGAGAAAGGATGGTCTAATAAAACATCTCTTTGCATGTTATATATGGTAAAATTTCTTACCACTTCAAAAGAAACCTTTTCTTTTAATCCCCATGGCCAACAAAGGGAGTGTGGTAGGTGCTTTCCAGGGAATTTAAGTAGGATTTAGTGATTTCTGGTCCATTTTCACCTTGTTCTTTCTCCCCACTGCAAACTTCAGGCAGCAGAAACAAAATCATGTCTGTGCCTTAACTGCCTGAGGTTCCTGCCTGATGTATCAAAATAAAACCATTGGTGAATGTGACTTAAGTGAATACCCCAGGCCACACATTTCAACAGCTGAGGAATTGTCACATATCCTTCTGCATCTCAGCCACAGGAGCAGGAGTCTCAGGCAGAGGAGTAGTGTGTTTCTATACTGCCCCACATCTGCTATTTCGAAGAGAAGGTGTGAATCAGAACCACAATAAAGAAAGGAGTATCCTTTGGATAAAGTGTGCTCATGCTCAGAGTTGTTGGGTTTGGATGGTTTGTTTTGTTTTGTTTTGTTTTTTCCTAATATATTGTGTTAGGAGTGTTTGATTTTGTGGGAGTAGGTGCCATGGACTACATGTGGCTATGGCAATCCATTTAACAGATGCAGTCCATGGAAGTCTTTCAGACAAGAGGCAGTATACTGGCATAATAACTGAGTTTCCATATATAGCTGAGAAGGATTATCTTGCAGAATTGATTAAATATGTTCCATTAAACTTAAAATGTTGATGGCATTGAACATCAAATGAGAGCTGGAGGAAGAGGGTAGAGCTACTAGGTCCTTACTGTGTATCCCCAAGATAGCAAACAAGGTCCCCAGCATAACAGAAAATAGATTTTTTTTCATCTTTAGGTTATATTATTGATGGCAAGTCCTCAGGTTCAGCAAGATTCATAGTAAGAGGTGTTAGTTCAAAATGAACCTGAATTACTTGTTTTGTGTGTCTCCTCATTGCACTGAGTCCTTCCTCCTGATTATTGATTGAGGAGACAGATGTTCATAAGCTGTATTATACAGATGAGAAAGGTAAAGTTTCTTGAGTTGGATTTCCCTTCCATTATTTTGTAATTTGCAAAAGTATTCTTGGTGTCCAGGGAAAGTTGTCTTTTCCCACAGGACCACAATTCATCGTAACCAAGGTGACTAGATATCAGGAACACACCTAAAAAACTACTTGTAGTGTCCCAGTATTTCATATTGGAACTAATTTATGTGGACATTTTTTATGTTGAAGATGGTTAGCTGTGTTTCGCAATATTGAGATGTATCAGTCTCCAATTTGTATCCAGTTCTTTACAGTAACAGATGCAGGACCAAATCCTTGGGTCTTGTGATTGCTATTTGGCACCACCTTTTGTGTTGAGAACAGTCTTTGTAGATAAGTTCAAGATGTAGTCTTAGTCTTAAAGCAAGTGCCCTCTTACCTATATTATAGGAGGTGGTTGCCCACAATTTTGTGCCAGTTGGAGAAGAAATTTTTGGTTCTTTACATAGGCATAAATTAATGAGTGATTCCTACAGGAAGGTTTGCAGAGTAACTACCCTGCTTTGCATCTATCCACACTTTGTAGAACCAAAAAGATCTGACCTGCAAATGCTGTCAAAGCAGTAATACAAAAAAAAAAAATGCTTTGCACCTTAGTGGAAAGATGCTAACTTGGTAAATATTGAGTGTAGTTTCATGTTTTCTGTTCCTCCTCTAAGACTCACTTAGTATTTCGTTATTGGGGAACATGGACCTACATGCACAAAGGAATTGAGTGTATGTGGGTAAAAGAGAAGTCTGTTTACTTAAATGGTCTTTCCAGAGAAAGTATCCACATATTTAGTACTTTTTGATTAGTCTTAGAAAATAAATGAGATGCATCAGACCACTTCAGGGGAAGTATGATGTCTTGACATGTTCTGCTGATAACAAGTTTAAGTAAAGATGCATTTCCTTTTCTTGTCTTGTTTGCAGTGCTGTTACGCAGCCGTAGCCATAAATGTTTTCTCAGGTGGGTTTGTGGAACAGATATATCAGAAGGTGGAGATAATAAGGAGGTGTAGTGGTTACTTAGGCATCTGAAGTTGTATGTAGGGGCTGAAGACACTGATTGCTCCGTGCTATGGAACTTTTACTATGAGAAATAAAATTTTGCTGTTGATCAAAAGATTTTTTAGAGAAGATGTTTTCAGAAGTCTCAACAAGTGGAACGTGTCCTTAGATTGCCAAAAGTGGAAGGCACAGCCACTGCTGGATGCAGGAGGGAGCAGCAAGGCAGAAGAGATGTGGATAATAGCACTGGGAAACAAAAAAGGGCAATGAACTTGACACTGTTAGCTGGAACAGTGAAAAGATCTAAGTTACAACAGACTGTGGAATATGGATGCAAACGTTCAGTTCTTGCTGAGTGCTTGATCTGACCAAATTAAATTTTGAAGGGGTAAACTGAAAATCATACTATGAAAACAGACTAGAAAAAAACAATGACAAGTGGCAAAAGTTTTTGGCAACTTTATTTAAGCTAACAAACGAATTTTCACACTGCAAAGTTATAAATTAATTTTAATAGGCTGATCCAGATGGTCCATTTGGAAAATGGATAGCTTGATCTGTTGAAAATTAAACTAAATTTATCTCTCTCATACTTCAAACTGAAGTAAGCATGAGAGGAGTGCCCATTAAGTCCAGCTCATACAGATGGACCGGCAGGTCACACATGGGACTAATCTGATTCATTTTAAAAATAAATGCATGAGTTATTGAATCAGGTTCCTGTTTCAAGCCCTGCGTGTGAGTGCGCGCGCGTGCATGTGTGTGTGCCGCCCTTTCAAAGGGACTCGCAAATGCTTCAGTGCCTTTTTAACCTGTGTGTTTCCATTTTAATTCAACTTCCTTGCCAAAAAACATAATTAGTTTTCAGTGCCTATCATTTAGTGTTAGACCCAAACACTAGATTGATTAGGTCAGACATTTGTTATTTTAAGGGCTATGTCTCCATCCTTCATTTATGAAGAACATGAGCTCAATAGTCTTGGGTAGAGAGCCGGCCTTTAGAAACTGGGAAGGGGAAACTCTCTGGGGGCCCCTCCAGCCTTTTAGCTTCTGGGTGTTTTTAACAGAGCCATGAATGCAGATTTGTAAATTTATTGCAGTGCCATCTGGTTTTTTTTTTGTTTTTTTTTTTTTTTTTTTTCCAGGAACCGTATTATTGTTGGCTCGTATGTGTCTATTGTGGTGGTCACTCCCCGGGAGCTTGCCCTCACAGTCCTAAGGAAAGTGATGAATAGTGGGGGTCAACATGAATAGGTCACAGGGCAGCTGTCCGGGGCTGCCCTGAACTTGATTACCCCGCTGGTTTTTAAAGAAGACGGGCACAATGCAGGTTGTTTAAAACCCTCCCTCCCATCTCTTCAGTGCAGCAATAATGAGGTGCCTTTTGCTGCTGTGGTTCATCTGTGGGCAAAGGTGCCTTGTGGGGAAGAGCTGGCAGCAGCAAGGCTGCTGCACTGTACCTCCTGCAAACCTCACATAGGACTCTGCTGTCTTTCTGCAAGCTTCCAGATGGAAGTCCGGGGGAAAAAAACCCTGTCTGTTACCCCATTCAGAGAAGCCCCTTAGCGTTTTCAAGAATTTTCCCTCTTACTGTTTTGGCAGAAAATACTACCTCAATTCACTCGTACAGATTTGAGATAATTTTCTAAAAATACATGTAGTACCTAAAACACGCTGTAGGCACTATTTCAAAGTTAAAATGGGCACAGTCTGATCTTAAACGTTTAAAGCCAATACTCAAGAAAACCATGAGAAGCAGAGAGGATGAAGAAGGTAGAGCAAAGGAAAAACAAAGTAGCAGTTGTCAACCTTTTACTCTGAGCTGGCAGCCTCATCCCACTGCTTAGGGCTCCTCACCAGGCATACCTCTCCTCTGCAAAAGTATTTCTGCTGTGCAAAGTTGAAGCCCTCCTTTTTACTGGTGAGGAAGGCTACATGGTGTGGAGGGAGAGAGGTTCCCTCCCTCCCTCAGGGGAAGATGCTGCAGTTCAAATTTACCTTCTGTTGGAGAGTTGGCCAAGACAGGGCAGACCTGGTCTACAAAGCTATCCTGGTTACGTCATGTTTTACGTGAGTAACACTTGCTAGTAAGGAGTTGCTGGTTGAAAAGCCCCTTGAAATTGCTGGAATTACACCCTTAGTCCTACTTGCAAGATTATTTTTTCTTTTGACTTTTTTTTTCTCTTTATTCTCAAAACAACAACCAAAAAACAATTTTCAGTCCTTTGTGACACTTAATGCATGTTAAAAAGCTGGCCAAAGCAGGATGTGCCAGAGTCTAAGTTAGAATGGGAATGCTGTCTTGTGGTGGAAAGGCCACTGGGCTCTTTCAGCATTAGTGCTAATAGGAATCTGTCACCCCGCCGCATTGCTGCATTCCCCTGTAATTCAGTAAATTGCAAGTGTTGTCTGCTCCCCTCTGCCCTTTGTGTCCATGTCCACTTACCATCCGAAGAACGTGGGCAGTGATAAA